CATAGTCACTTCTCTTTACTTTCAGCTCACTCTTTCTCTCTCACATTGAGACCAAAAACAAAAAATAATATGTTTGTAGAAAGGGGGAGATAGTCGTCATCCAAACTTGATGGCCGAAAATAGACGTTACCATTTGCTCTCCAAATTAGTTTGAGCCCTCACTGCGGGTTTTGTGCATAAAGGAACAAAAACAGGCACACAGACATACAGAGACAGACATCCTCACATGCATCGAAGTTGACATATGACCTCAACTAACTTTATACTTGATCAGAGGTCAGATGTAGAGTGGATATACCAATTTTTAGGAATTTGCCGGTGAGTTTTCTTGACTTGTTGGCTTGAATTTCGTTGTGACGATGATACCTTGCTCTAATGGTGTTCGGTACATGACGAAGAGAAGCTTAGTACCTTTAAACCAGAATCGAAGAAGATTGCCTTGGAAACAGCGTCAGCATGAATCTTCCAGTAAAGCCAATCGACAGATGGACAAGAGGAGTCGGCCGTCGTCTTCTTCTTCTTCTTCATCAAACACTTTTACTCGAAATGGAATTGAGCCCAACAAGAAAAGGATTAATCAGTCAACTTTATCCTTCTCAACACCGTCAAACAATGTTCCTGTAGCTTAAGCGCATTCAGAAAGACAAATTTACTGTTGCCTCTATTTCGCTTCCATTTCATTTGTGCAGCACAAAATTGGTCTCTCCTCATTTTTGTAACTTGGTTCTAGCTTTAGGAAGACCTCCAAACGTGTGCTCTGTATTCCGCTCATCGCTTTCGGCATCAGACAGCTGATTGGGTAGGCTCCCGGCAGGTACATTCCGGCCATTAGTAGCCATGAGTTAAGGCTCGTCAGAGGAGCAAGCGATTGAAAGCGATGCCACTTCCAATGGAATAGGTAGGCTTTATGGTGCCCCCGGTGTAAGTTCTTACAGCACCTTAAGCCCTTTAAGCTGATTAAATCTTCATTTAAGAAGGATTGATCATTGGGAAAAATTCTAACGCCTATTTTATTATTCTGATTTGCCCTCAGAAGATGCTGAGCCAGAAAGTATTCACCCAATTTCGTTTAAGGTGATGAAGGACTGGTAGTCGAATTTTCCCACCTTAAACTAAATTGGGTGAATACCTCTCATATTACTGATTTACTGGTAGTCTCGAAACTCAACTAAAACACGAAAAAATAAGTAATGTAGTCGATTGTTATAGCAAAAATACGTTTGCGTCATCGACAATCCCACCAAAGAATGTGATATGGCAAAATGCCTGACCTTCCTTGAAATTCACATCTGCCATGTGACCCAAGGGCACTCGTGGCAACGCGGTCGAATGGTTAACGTGTCAAGCTCCCATGCTGCACTATCACAGTTCGCCTCCCGCTGAGGGTGTTGATAAGACCGATGCGAGGTCGAAACTGCAGTCCACTTCTGTCTGGATGAGAACCACTTTTAGGAAAGTAAGGCTATGTGAAATTAAATTAAAATTTCAGCTCTACTCATATCATTGTGTGGACTTCATAATTAAGTGGAAGATGAGGGAGTCGATTGAAATTAACAAAACAAACAACATCGTGAATAAGAGGAACGAATGTAGGAAACAAAGTAAGAACTATCTCTGGTTTCTAAATAGAATGAATGAGAGAGAAATAGATAGAGATAGAGATAGAGAAAGAGAGAGAGAGAGAGAGAGATAAAGAAATGGAACAAAAAGAGCCACTGAGTAAGAAGAGAAGAATAGACTATGCCGGACCCTGTTTGTGAACCTAAAATTGCCAACCAACTCGGGTTTGTTGAATGCATACACACGCAAACACGCATCAACGAATCTGTAACAAGATCCCGTACTGCTGGATCACACTCTAGTTTATTTGCATACACAAATCCGCTCTCCTGCCTGCACTACTTTGACCCACTTACATGCATGTAGGACAGGCATACGTCAGCCAACCAAATCATACTATTGGTTAGCGTGTCAAGCTCCCATGCTGAACTGTCACGGTTCGACTCCCGCTGAGGGTGTTGATAAAACCGATGCGAGCTCAAAATTGCAGTTCACTTCTGTCTGGATGAGAACCACTTCTAGGAAAGCAATGGAAAACGTCAGCTCAACTCATATGATTGTGGGAAAATTCTACTACCAGTCCTTTATCACCTTAAGCGAAATTGCGTGAATACATCCCATACTACTGATTTACTGGTAGTCTCGAAACTCTACTTAAACACGAAAAAGGAAAGAGAGTAGTAGGCGATGCTACAGACCGAATAGGATAGATCAAGGCACTACAACTCGTAAACGGCAAGTTGGTCAATGAATGGGTTTCACATGTCCCTCACTCGAGTTCCGGCTCGACGGAGAGAACACCGACTCAGCTGCCGGTAAGACGTCTGACAATGTGCCCAATCAACGGTCGATTGTTGGAAGAAGACACAGCCAGACTGGCAAGATACGTTCTCCGAAGGAAGAGAAATTTGTGAAAACAAGGTCTAACCAAAACTTTTGAAGGAATGTTTTAGGAAAGATATTCGTGATATTCTTTAAATCAATTAGGAAATGCTAAAGAATAGGCAATAAATAGAAAGATATATATGAAGAGTATGGTTTGGTCGCTTCCTTTTTAGCTCGTAAAATCATTCCCATTTCGCGTAAAAGTGTGCGTTAATGTCATTTGATAGTCGATCCCACCGAGAGAAGATGTCAGAACTGTCGGTTGGCTTTACGGAAAGATTTTTATTTATGATGGGAGTGAGTTCGACAATGATGAGACAATAAATTCCAACTTTTCTTTGCATATACACCATAAACATGTTCAGCTCTAGTTAATTGGTATGACCTCGATTTTGCAACTTGGTGGGGGCGGCAAGATGATGTTGAAGAACGTGATGTCATGGCTCACTTTCGTACTCCCATTATTTTAAAATGTTAAAGTTGTCTCTTCTTGGTTGCAGGAGTTCATCGTTCCTGGCCCTCTGGCCAGCTACCATATTACCATTTGGGCAACTATCTTACCGGACACATCTGGAAAAGGAGGAGGAAAGAGTCCCGCTTCCGATGTTTTCTTGGCGGTCTCTGCTGCAGGAGGTGAGCTGAATTCCTCTGTTTGGTACATTTTTGTCTCACAAAAGTGGTGTCGTTTCCATGGGCCAACAGTCCAAACGTCTTCAATAGGCCAGACCTGCCACAAATTGTAGAACAATTCGTAAATTCACCGCGAACAAACAGGTCCTTATCTACCGGCCGTCCTGAGACCGACAGACTGTGTTTCTCTTTGCCTCCACGGCGCAATCCCAAACTGCGTGGGTCATCTTTCGAGCCAACTGCGCAACACAATATTCGAGTTCGCCAAATGGGACAGAACGACGAAATCGAAGCTTTAAGCTCTTGTGCTCTCGCGTCTAAAGATGTCTAGCCAGGAATAAGAGGTGTGTGAACCCTATTTGGTTTAAGACGATCTAAACCTTCGTGTCTCATCGTTCTATACTGCCACTTAACTTGACGAGCTGGGCTAGTGTCCTTCATATGACAAATAAAAATTTAGCACGTTTTCACGGAACTCGAATGAGCTTACATCATGGACAGTGTCATCCGGAAGAATTCACCACTTGCTTCTGGTATGATCAACCTTCGAATCTCATCGACATATTTACGCTTTTTATTCGAAATGTAAATAAGTTCATCACTTGACAACCAAGTTTTGTTTGGTACAGAAGTTTCATCAAGTCAAAACGTTAAATTCATGGTCAGGTGATGGATCTTTTTGAGTCCATTTTTGTGTTGAAATGCCTATCGGTTGCATAATTCTGCGATATTATATGATTCTGGCCTTCGATGCGATTCTGTTGTCAGGTCGAAAGAGTCGGAAAGCGTGGTGTTTGGCATGATTGTATGTACAATTGTGAATAGCCCGCAGTGAGTTATTGTTTAATCCTTGCTCATTATTGTTGATGCTGTTTCTTTTCAAGTGCCCAGTGCTCCAGAATCCTTCAAGGCAGTCTCATTATCCTCCACCTCCGCAAGCCTGGAGTGGAAGGCTCCAGTTAACACAAACGGAATACTTTCTGCCTACACGATAACGTTTCAACCACTCGTAAACGGCCAGTCTTCCGTCGAATTGGCTCCCACTATTCTCACTTACACGGTATCACACCTTTTGGCCAGCAGGAATTACACTTTCACTCTGAACGCAATTACAGCGCCAAACATCAACGGAATAGGCGGAGGCGCCGGACGCTCAGTTTCGGTCTCTGTCACCACTTGGCCCGGAGGTGAGTTAATTATCCTCGTTGTATGAGCTGTATCTGCCCTAGGTCGCATATGGTGATTAAAGTATGATAGTTGAATTTTCCCACGACCACATGACGCCAATAAATTTCACTTGATTTTACCTCACAGAGCAAACGAATCTATTCCACATCAAATTTTCTAG